ATCTTGGGCATGCATGCACACACGCCCGGCGGGAGTTTAAGCCACTGGATTCAGGACCTGAACCGCGGTTGACTACATGAGAGTCCAGTGACATAGCCATTACGCCAACTGCTGGTCCCTGTGTTCCAAAATCTTGACTGGCTGGAGGGCTGCATGGAAGATCACAGCGTAAGATAAACAGAAGGCAAGATTCACTGATATCCAGTGAGCCACGCAAAGAAAAGAATTTCTTGTAGCCAGTAAGTGGGACTACATTCACATCAAGTCTAGGCTGCCATTCTGATAGGGCATGTGTACCGGGCAATAGCCGATTCTTGCCTCTCGTTCTTGCAGGGTGGAGCAACGGCCCCATATTTCCAACCAATCTACATGCTACATACCACAATTTCAAGGGGGTGGAAATGACTAGAAGAGGCCAGTAGGTGGTATGGTGGTTGAGGTACTGGACTCCTCCATGGCTGACTATAGTTCAAAACCCAGACCTGGCAGCTTGCTTTCTCACTTTCTCTCTCTCTCTGGTGAGCACATGTGCCCTATAGCATATTAAATAATAATAGTAATAAACAAAATAAATCATTCTAAAAAATACATTTAAGAAAATAACTGGAAAAGGAGGAAGTTTTGTGTTTTGGACTTCATGTTCTCATGTTGGTAGAAGACTGGTATTTCCTTCTGTCTTAAAATGTGGTTTCCTCTTCATGACAGTTGATAAGAAGTTTGGCTTCTTCTTAGAATGAGAACTAGCATAGTGCCAGGGCGAGTATTTGTGGCTGATTTTGGTAGAAGGTGGCCCAGTCACATGGCTTAAAGAAGGAGAAAGTAATGAAAGGATTATTTATCTAGGTGCAGGAAGAACTAAAGAAAACCAAAACAAAGATGGTGGACCCCTGGGACGTGGTGGGCAGTGTGGGGGGTGATCCCTCCTTGGTTTGACAAGACTAGAGGGGAGAGCAGTTGTAGGAATCTGAGAAGGAGTTTAGCTGTAGCTACACAATCCAGCCATTGTCCAAATGACTAGTCTCTTCAGGGAGGTGGGAGCTGGGCTTCTTCCCTCCTCACTCCTTCCAGGGCTACCATTAGCCAACCCAGATATAAAACAGAGCACATGAAGACCTGATGATGTAGCTTGTTCAAGACGACCTCTCAGTGTACAGAGCAAAAGAATGGGGAGTAGATTTTTCTCACATTTGCCCCAGTGTAAATTGTGATATGCTTATTAAGTGTTGAGAAGTGACCAGGCAATATGAAACTGTTTCTAGACAAAGCAGCTGCTCCTTTGGATTGTGAAATAAACTAGAATTCTGGGGCTGGCAGGTGGTGTGGTGGTTAAGGCACTGGACTCCCACATGACTGACCATGGTTTGAGTCCCAGACCTGGCAACTTACTTTCTCTC